GTGAGCTCTCTTCCTGCATTGTCTCCTCCCAGTTTCGCATTCATATCACCCATCAGGATTCTGATATCGTTGTTCATTACTGCTTGCAGTTGACTGTAGAAATCCTCCTTCTTCTCTTGTTCTGAGACGTTGAACTGAGACGTTGCGCATTGCACTGAATGATTGTAACCTTCTTTCCTTTTGAGTTGAACCTGGCTGTCATTATCCTGGAGGAGATTGGTTCCCACTGCATGAGAGCTTTGGCTGCTGTTGGTGACATCATGATGGCCACTCCCTCGGTGTGCTCGTGGTTGTCCTCTGGGTGACCGGAATAGATTAGTATCTCCCCAGTTGACAGTTGGCTCCTGCCACATCCGTTCCATCTGCTCTCGCAGATTCTCAACACTTCTATTCCATATCTTCTCATTTATGCAGCTACCTGGGTTGCCTTTCCAGCTTCGTACATTGTACGAACATTCCTCGTCCCCATCCTTATTTTTGCTTTCATCGAAAGGAAGCACATCGGCTGACTGGCTTCCCGACGGCTTTCACCAGCCTGCGTCATTTCACTTCCCCGATTCCAGCGAAAAATAAGGTTATTGTTTGTATTTTTAGAATTTTGAATATATTTGTGCGTTGAAGTTTTAGTAGCAATTTGGTTAAGTTTTGGGGGTGGAGCTGCTAGCACCACGCCACAACCCTCCCTCTTTATCCGGGCTTGGGACCGGCTAGAAAACTAGTGACCTAGTAATCTAGGCGAGGTTATACTTTAAGCATACATTAGCAATATTCACTGACTGTGTTCTCATTTAAAAACAGAACTTCAGCAATAATTTCCTAAGGCACTCGGTCCTACGCTTTCACTTTCTACCGGTCCCTAAAAGTTCTCATCTCTGCTTCACATGATCTCTGCATCACTCTCAGTCACCCTTTCTCATCGCTTCTCGTTCTAGTTCCACTGGAGGGTCTAAAGGTTGACGTCACTTAACGGCTTCTTCAGAGTATATCCAAACCATGTTGCTAACGGGTACACTAATTGTCAGAGTTTCTTGTTGCTTATCCTTTCCAGCCAGCTGTCAGATCTCCAGTATCAATGGAAAGTTTCTATTGATTAAAATCCGCAGTATATTGGAAATGCTATTGGTGACGCATGCGCAAATCTCTGGAGCGCATGGAAGGAATTGATATTTTTTTCATTCATTGCATCATCTAATTCTTGAAGATTAATATATTGTATGGTTTTATGAGCGCATACGCACACTTCTCGATCCTGTGCGACTTTCTTGAGACGGGATCTGTCCGATATTTGGCTTGTCAATCTGGTGAAACCACTCCCTGTTCGTATTCTTGTTTTCACGCACGCTGCCTGCATTTCATAAGTCCTGGAGGAATTCTCCCTCCTTTTACTCAGATCACTGAAAGCCTCTCGCTGACCCATGATGAGTTGTCCCTATTTTTCTTTTCTTAGTTTATCTGACATTCATATGACACACTAGAATTTCCATGTCCTCATCTTGCTTGGTTCTAGTGGATCGCTGCCTGTACTTGGCCTCATATGCAGTTCCTTCTTCTTCGCCAATTGGTTTGGATCTATTGAAGGTGTGTGGCATTATATAATTGTAATTTTACTTCTTCTTGAGTTGAATCTTGCTTTTAGAATCCTGATGGCGACCGATTCCGACCACATAGAAGATCCTGATTCTATTGGTAACATTATGATGGCCACACTCCCAGTTGATGCCGAGGAGACCAGTTAGTGACGGCGTCTGAGCGGCATCCAGCTCGTTTCTGAGCTGGCTACAACTGGATTTAATGCGGAGGACTGGTGCGGCCATGTATCCTAATAAACCCAAGCCATGACCATACTAACTGCTGACGCTTTATTCTGGGCCACCTCGCCTGTTGGCCGGGCTGTTCTTAATACCACCTCAACTAGTGAAGTCATAAGATAACAAATGTGGCTTTTCAGGGATGTATTCTTACTGATGGTATTTAGAGGGTATTGAGATACGAAGCCACAACACAACACTGGATCCATACTCTTATTCCTCCAAAACTCAGCTTTCCGCAGCCTGATCCAATCATTATAGGTGAACAAATTGACCGTTAAAACCGAAATGAACCTCATAAATCCCCAACAATGAAATTGGAGAGCTGCATATTTCACTCATAACAAGAAAGAAACCCAGACTCTGTGGAACGAATTAGGTTGTACTATGTATGTACTGGTGATTTCAATGCATAGGGATTTCCCTATGTAAGGCAGTAAATCGTGGCTGTTATAAAAGCCAAAAAACCAAATACTTTCATACTTCTGTCGAACAGCCAAACAGTATTTGGTAACTGCTGTAGATATAGTCTTGAATCTCTACAAGAAGAAATACTTCAAGATGTTTCCACATAGCCTGGTGAATGGTTTTATCACCTCACTCACATGTGAATACTACGCGTGAGTATTGCACTTCTTTAAGTGCGCAGTCAAAATCTAATTATCTCAAGTAGATCTATTCAGAATTGTTATCCTAGACGAGTAGTTGTTTTGGACATACATATAAGATAAATCATGTTCGGATAGATTTATAGGGATCTCTTTTGGACAACATCCATGTCACACATTTGCAGCACAGAGGCTGCGCGATGCAGCAGGTTGCCTCAACATCATTTTCAGAATCCTTAAACCCGTCGCTGGCGTTGGCTTCTAGTGGTTATCCTCCCTGCACAATGTTTAAGAGCTTCTGAGGCAGAGAAATAGACGTCAAAACTCAACCGTTAGATGGTATTTCGGCCTGCGCTGACACAGATCTAATTAAAAATTGGAGTAATGTGCTCATCAGTAGGGCTGTTCATTCGACCTTTACTGAGGGGATTTAAATTGAATGGAGCATTATTTGGAATTCTTACTCATTTATAGTGGGAAATAAAGGCATGTTACTGCATGGGAATTCTAAATTTGACCGCTTCTTTAAGGCGGTACTTGTCCCAAATTTGGTAGCAGAATAATGAGTGTCTCCATGTAACGGGTAACCGATTCACTATGTTTGTCCGTTCTGGTGTAGAAAAAAACATGAGAACCTTATGAGTGTACTGAGCAGTTCTCCAAATTTACGGTGACTTCTGATGGTGCAGCCCAACCAACGAAGACTGAAGCAGAAATTTTTCCGTTGTGCTCTTTCTTGGAAGGCTTTAGCTGTAGTGATGAAGGAAGTTCCTCCCAAGGCCTAATAAAATATAAAGATCACATTTGTAGCACAGAGTCGAAAGCCTGGATGTATACGAAATAAACGACTTTTGAATGTCTAAATATTGCACTCCGTGAGTTGCTTCCAGATCTCGTGATAGCTATCTACCTGCCCCAGAAAGCCCGCGAAATGGGATTTGGTCACTCACTGCTATCTTCTTTTGGAACCAACCTAGAGAATATGGAATTTTCCTTAAGGGGTAACTGTGTATGTTCTGTTTTGGGAACCGCGACCATCTAGGTAACACAAAGAGCGGTTGTGGGGAAGTCTCTAACTTAGACGTTTATAAACGACCTCCTGAACAGCCGAAACTACCCGGTAATTCTTTGGGCAGTTGTGGAGGTCTCTTAGAAGTGAGGAAGAATCCACCAGTTGTAGGAAGAGCTGACCAAGCTGCAGAACTAAGCTTCAGGAAATAGGTAGGCTTTAAACATTACCAAAGGCTGAGAAATGGTCACTATTTGCGATACCAGGTTACTCCTGACGCATTAACGTGCTTATTAAGCGAAGGACACAGCCAAGATCACTACAGCAATCTGCTTCTTGCGTTAATAGTGAGGTGTACTTGCACGTCAACTTCTGACATGGCTGCACAAAATATGTGTTCAGTCATTATTAGATGTCCGCCACCTCTCCTCAAGGGAAACGCTAATCCTTCAGAAGAAGCACAAAGAGGGGTTACTGAAACCGTCTCAATATTAAAATGCCTTCCGTATAACACCTGATAAAGAAAGCTCGATCTAGATACCAACAAACGACACAGAACCGGGGGTTTGTCATGGACAGAATTGGCTGTCCACCGACATAAGGAATGTATCACCAGCAGACAGGTACAGAAGAAGGACAAACTATTATGGAAACACGATATGATTAATTATATCCGCTTGAGAAACCAACTGGTCCTAGAGTGCTGTTTTGGCGCAACAATTATCTTACTTAATTTGACATAATTACCTATATGCTCTAATTTATTTTTTTTTACCTCTGTCTCAATCAGTCTTCCCTACTTTTATGTGCGTGAGTGTGCTTTCGTAACATTTCTTGCACACTCTTCTCTTTTCTGTCTCCACTGCCTCGTTTCCCCATTATGTGGAGTGCTCGTGGACCACACTGGACGCATGGCCAATGAAAGGAAAGTCTCAAGACCTATTGAGCCATTACGATGATAAAAAACACACATTAACTAGGAATTAAACAAGAGTGGGTCTTATCAATGTGTTCAGCATAGCCTCAGTACTAGACGTCATAACGGGATCAGCAAAAAATCAAGACCCCTCTCCAGATAACATGACGCGAAAACGACGAAACGCTAAGGTTTGTGGAACCTCGCCATCACTATAGTGGATACTGGCTAAAACTTGCTTCAAAGCGTAGTTATACGGAAATACTAAGTGTCAGTTAAGAGAAAAGCATGGAAATCTAAAAACTGTACTTAAAATTGTCATGTCCACAGTGTCTAAGCAATGAACGATTTTAGTAATTTATCTGGGTTGTTTGTAGGAAGGAAATATTGTATCATTGATAATAATGTAACTTTAAGGCATGCCTAATGTTTTCTTGGTGTAGACAGAGGAAAGTTCAACAGAAATAATGTCTGTTATTTCTTTGTTTAAATGTATCAATTTAAGCAACTCTTTTGAATCGCGTAATATCATTTTTGTCGAAATCGATGGGTAATGCACAAGCTGCGAAAAAGGGTGATCCAGCGGATGGTGAGCTGAATTACTGCATAATTTATTCCCATTTATTTTCATTATTAATCCTTGTTTATTTTTTTTACAGTGAAGGCTTTTCTTGAGGAAGCCAAGAAAGAATTCCTAGAAAAATGGGAGAAGCCTTCACAGGTACGTTAATTGTTTTCCTATATAGTTTTTAGAATACGGCAACGCTGGATTCTTTCGATCGTATCAAAACGTTGGGTACTGGTTCTTTTGGACGCGTTATGTTGGTGCAGCATAAAGTTAGCAAGGAGTATTATGCTATGAAGATATTGGACAAACAAAAGGTTGTTTGATTGTCGTTAATTTTTTTATTGCTTTCTTAGGTTGTGAAACTGAAACAAGTGGAACATACTTTGAATGAAAAACGCATCCTGCAGGCTATTTCTTTTCCATTCCTTGTACGTTTGGATTATCATTTCAAAGTAAGTGTAAAACGTGCTTTGATTTCATAAATTGCTATAGTTTATTCAATAAATCTTTTAGAGCAATCATAATCCCAAAATTCTTCACTTTCTCACTGTTGTATAACTCTAAATTAGATCACTAATATTTGACTTTCCTAGCTTACATGGAAAATTAATAACGTTGAGTACTGATATTATAGTCACATTTTCCTTTGTTTATGTCGAAATATAACTGCCTGTCTTCAGACTTCTGATTCGGAATCAAGGAATAGTAGTTTTGCGTACGATTAAGGCGAGGATTAACTAAACTATTATGTTCGGATTTTCTTTTTGAACATATATTTAAATTCCTAAAACAACCATAATTAACCGAGTTTTTAAAGTCCTATGACAAACTAGGATATATCTTGACTTTCCTGGTTTGCAGTGATTGCTAATTCCAAGATAATTTATAAAAAGATATACTGTTTCAAGATAGAGCAGTTAATTATCTCATTCAGTTGACCAGTTTTTTCGCTAAGTCTGCTTTATCCTGTAAAAATGTTAAAGACAATACATCCGAAATATACTAGATAGGTTAATGTGAGTCTTTTTTTGACAAACTTAGGGACCTTTGTATTAGTCACTCATTGAAATTCCCATGAACATATTGGACTGAACTTAATTATCACAGCATACATTTTTAGAAAAGTGCCGAGTTTATTGTTCCATACTCCAAAAAGCAAAGAAGAAGGTAGTTCAGGGAAACTCAGTAAAAGCAAGCAGGAGATAAACACAGAAAAGATAATGAGGATATACAGAATGTAGATCACAGTGAATAATTAAATCAGGGTCATTGCGGATGATTTTTAGCCATGTCACCAAAAGCCCTCAACAGTGATTCTTACCACCAGAAAACGTCAGTTAGGCAATCTATACCCCCTGCATCGTCCCAACCAAACAGTCAGGGACTACATGGATTGGTGTTATATTTTTGTCTAACCATCTCGAATTCCTTTTAAAACTTAATTCCATGTAAGCTAGTTTGGCTTATTGAGAAATTGGCATGCTTAACATAAATCTTATCCACCTAAATCAGCGCAGCCTCACAACCTCATCAAATGTGTCTTCCTCCTTACCTAGCACTTAATGCCAAACCTCATTATCACTAATCGTACTACGCCATCGAATACAAGAATATGAATGCAGACACATACGGTGAAAAGTGGTTAATTTTATTATACCCTTTTTTTACAGCGATACTCCAGACTCCTAAAGAAATACAGGGTACACTGCTAATTTGATTGAGGAAAACATTGGGTTTTCGTGAATAATTTTCCTGTATTATTCTGTATAGACTGTGGTTCCTTTATTTCTCCGATTGACTTTGTTGGGATGTCCATAAATTTTATGTTATTTCAATTTCGTCATCTAAGATTGATTGTAAGCTGACAACTTTAACTCCGCAAAATTACTGCACACGCAAGATTAAGAGAATATGAGTCTTCTGAAGCTATTTGGCAGAATTCTAAATATGTTTAGCGCACACTTGCCTTCTGTCAAATTTAAAGCAATGGTATTAGGATAGGAAGTTACATTCGTAGTAGTTTGATGTCTGTTGAGGCACCACCACAAGCTAAGATGGCCCGTCTTCTGTGGTGCTGCCAAAATATCCGGCTATCAATCTAAAGGCATATGTGCGTAATGAGAGCCTATCTTGTCTTCCTGAAAAAGTTAAGATTAATGAGATCAAAATGTCTCACTATTTCAAGAGTGTGGGGACAGTTTGTTTCGTTGGTGTATGATGGTGATGGTGGTCTATGGCTAGAATGCTTGAAACTGCAAAGTCAAGCGTTAAATATAGGATACCTACAGAGGCTAGGATGCATTAATTATTTATTGAATTCAAAATTTTTAACATTTCTGCTAATCCTCATTAAACTTTTCTATATTCTTTTTTCCTCATAGTACTTTCACTGTACCCCTCTTCTCCTACTTTTAATACGTTGTTTTGAAGTTTGAGCACTTAAACTAATAATTTGTTGATTTAGTATATCAGTGCATGTGTGTAAAGGCAGACAATTCATTATGGAACTCCTGAATGGTAACTTTAACAGGACCTCACTGCAAGCTCCCGTACATTATTCTGTGTATTGTTGCAGCATTGTGTTTGGGTTTTTGTACCACACATGTTTTCGAGGAACATTCGATGCAGTACTTAAAACTTATTTGGCATAAATTTCATCTGAGTGAAGAAGAGACCCATGACCTTTAACTGTCGATTTTAAACCGATCAGTCTGAAGTGTAAATTCATCTTCCTACTGTCTGGGTATGCAGATGTGATTATAAATTGTCACAAACTGTGATCTACATTCTTGCATATGAAGTATCTATTGTATGTGTAATTCATTTAAGTGAAGCCTGTGATCAATCGTTTTAGTCATATATATGGTCATCATGCAAGAGGATCAATAAATGAACTGAATACTATAATGAAGGGTGAAAAAACTGTAACTCATTGAGAAAGACTTACGTTTATACATAGTTTGTCCTGACGGTCAGTCAAACTTCTACGGTAGTGTACTTGTTTCGCTTAAGAAGAAGTAACAGAATGAGTAATCTCTAGATATGAGTGATGAAAGTAAGACACTGTAAAAGTGTTTTTGTTCCCTATGCTTTCTCATGGGGCAATAATGAAAATAAAGATTCAAGTGATATCGAAGTTAAAGCGAAACAAAAACCTTTGGTTGTCAATACTTAGTTATACGACTTATAATTGTTAGCAATCGAAAAACTTCATTCTTATTATATTTTTGGCATAATTTCTTTACTCAATTTTCACTTTCTTCTCTGTACTTACAGCATAATATTATGCCGTTTTGTTTCTAGCTTTTTCATTTCCATTTGCTCGTGAAGTCAATAGGTGTGTAAATTAAGACTTCTAGGCAGCAAAGTTGCGTTTTATTGTGATAATCCATGTCGTTACAAGTGGAAAAGCTGTTCGATAAGCTGTTTTCAGCCTGGGAATGAAATGGATTTATGGCTTATACATTAGTTTCGGAGGTCAGACGATAACTTTGGTGTACCAGGCCGTGTATCTTTGGTGATACAGCTTTTAACTGGTGTTTAGAACTGCAGGCTTAGCTATTTGACTTGATCACTTAAATTCTTTTCCATATGTCATGTGGATAAACTATTCTTAGTTGGTTTCTTGTTTCGTGTGCTCCATGAAATATTTCATATTAGAATATGCTTGAAGTACTGAATGCTAATATGAACTTTCTGTTTACCTCTTTACCGATCTAATAACATTTAGTTAGAACCGGATGTCTTTTGACTTTGGCTTTTAAACATTAGATTTAATATTCTCCTCACCTCCTCACCACCTAAGTAAAATTTAACTGTAAAGTAGCTATAACTGGTAAACAAATCTAGATAAATGTACACTTATTATGAAAGGGAAAGTCACAAATGATCATAATAATTCGCAGAACATGTCTCGTGGTGTAGACATATGCAATGAAAAGACCTATTAACTCAATACTCAGGTTTTATTACTTTAGTAACGTATGGTTTATTGAAATAACTTCAAAATAACCTTAATATTAGTCTATAAATCTAACATAGTTCATAAAATACATATTCTTTCACTTATCCGCAGACTGGTATATATTAACAAGATTAGGAAATCATTAAAGTCAGGGAAAAATTTACATTTACCAATTATCAGAAGAGTATAGTATTCTAATGTCACTGAACTTCACCACCCAACAGGTGAAACACTAGTTTAGAAGGGCATGGTAGGAGTTTACGCATAAATGAAGTTCTTCCCGTCACTTCGTGGTAACATATTTTGGAGGAGAAGAAATGAAATCTCAGAATAAATACGAGTGAAATGACGACAGATATTAAAAAGTGTACTATTATAGTTTTATTGATTAGGAATGTATACACCTGCAGCATGTTGAGTAACTTTAACACATAATATGATGAGTTTTGAGTTTTCGTTGCCTGCCATCCCCATAAGGTTTTCTTAAATAACTCCAATTAACAATTAACACGATATATGCATCTTATAACTTTTAAGTCTGTATATATCTAGCTTTTCTGCACGAGATGGGATAGTAAAGAACAAAACACAAAATGGATGTAAACAAGGCTTTCAAAGTCATCTACCATATATCAACTAATCTTAATTTTACCTCAACAGTTCGTCTATTACATATTGCTGAGGCTGTTGTAATCTATATAAGGAAGCCTAACTTATGCATCCAAAAGAAGTTGGTTCGCACGCTTTCCTTACCCTGGTCATCATGGTTTCAAGGATCCTTAATTTTATTTGATATTCTATTTACTATTACATTTCGATGCTTATTATAACTTATCAACCTTTCTTGAACTGTAATTTCACTAATCTTAAAAAGTCGATAGTATTTAAACATACCAATATTGATAATGCCGATTTTTCTAAAATATTCCGTATACATAAATATATGTAAACTTGTAGAGCCGGATAAGGAAATTATCGAAAAGAATATTCTTTGGTGTTTAGTTGTTTGATTAATTCATTTCCGAACATTTTGTTTTAGGAATGTTTTTGTACTCGAAATGCTTGATTTCATTTTAAATAATGAAGCTTCTAGTACACCTGCTGAAAGCTTGAAAGTTCCCTAATATGAACTCAGGCGTTTTCTAACAGACATGTTTCTGTTATTGCACTGCAAATTGGACTCGGTCAGTGGTAGATGGTGTGGTTTTGATCTCTTCAGCGGCGAATCACTTAGTCTTGCAGGAGTATGACTGTGATTCAACTGGTTTAAAAATTACGCCTTTAACTGCAACACTGAGTGACTTTATCTATAGTCTTGAAAGTACATCTTGTAGCCAACCTTATTTAAACATGCCTTCACAAAAGCAATTCCCAATTATCCATCATCACGGAGTATCCGACGGAATGGCATACTGCATTCGTCGCGGATTTTACAAATAGCATAAAACATACGTGAAATCGGTAGAAAATCATTTTCTGTCGGAGATTCAAATCCTACTGATTGTGCTTTAAAGACTTAAATACAGGACTTCATATTATCACTAGAGGCCTGTAGATTGGGGCTGATGAAGAATTTAAATAATGTAACTGAAAATAATGCCTGTTCGTTTAATTCGTTGAAGTCCTTTCATTTAGCGGACTATAACGCACGTTTTGTATGCTCCAGTTTATGATTTGGTTCTTCTGAGGCAGCTGAAGTGAATAGAATAGCGTTTCAACTAGAAATTAACAAAGTGGAATTCATTTGCTTCAGTCAGTGTGTTACAACATCAGACTTCTAAGGCAAAAAGAATGAGCGAAGAAATATTTACTTTCCAGTTGGATCCTCATCTCTGGCTCTGCTATAATATATACATATATTATATATATAGCATTTTTAATACAATACGTGACATTTTAAGAATCAAATGGCGATATATTTGTTAAAAATAATTAATCAGTTTCAACATGTCTAGATTTCTTCCATAAATGTCAATGCATTGCGTGTCTTTTTCCATTAAGAATAACTTTTGTCACTTTCTTCCACTTATTCTTAAACCGAAAATGACTAAAAAGATCTAGTTATTATTATCCTGATTTTGATAGATCCAAGAGTTGAATATACCTCAAAAATGCATGGCACTCATCCTCAACGTTTACAAATATTTTCTTTGTTTAAGGAGGTAAAGTGATTTTTCAGGCAGAAAATGTAGTCCGACAATGTAATGGTAGTAGTTGCAAACTAGATAAGTTTATTTAATATAAAGTATAGGATTAATAACTGGATAGTGTTACATTAGTTTTGATGGTATTAAGTGGAGTTACCAATGATAAGGAACTAAAACACTTATTTCATTTGTAAATGAAATAGCAGATTGAATCCCTTGATTGCCATGCATGTTTTTATTTTATCTTGTATATTTAGTTGCTTTTATGATTCAAGTGGAACACTTTTATGGCAAAGAGAGGTTTTCTTCAGAATCAGACCTGGGAATAACTTTAATGTTTGTTCCATTACTCAGGTTAGCTTTAGATGAGAAACCCCAGTACTATGCATGAAAACGAGCTAATATATAAAATGAAAAGTTTGGTATGCTAACTTACTTGACAAGAAATTGAGTTGTCTATTTGTTTTCAACTTTTTAAATCATGGACTAGACTTAAGATTATTAATTTTAGTTCATTTTGCCAGGAATGTGAACTTCTTATTGAAGACTGGATACATTTAGTTAACATTTAAAAAGCTTATCATTGTGGTGACTTTCTGAACAATTTTAGCAGTAATAATTTGCAATACATTTTAGAGAATTCATTCGCTGGTTTAAACGCTAGGTTTGTTTGTAGAAACAGTAAGTCTGCAGTCAAATAATGACTCGTTGTTACTCACTTTGGATCACCAACGGTCGTGTCATAATCTGTGTAAACGTAGCTTTATTTGTCCCAGTCTATATAGTGGATGAAATAATTTGTTTCCTCAGTGTATGCGCGTTTTTTGTTCTGATGCATAAACTTGTATAAAGTTATCCAGTATTATTATTATTATCGTCATTTGTTTGCAGTCATTTTATTTTGTAAGTATTAAGTCATTTTTATTTTAAAATGATTTCCATCTATAGACAGTTTGCGTCTTTTTTCCATTTTACTCATAATTATAGGATAACAGCAATTTGTATATGGTGTTGGAATTTGTCAATGGTGGGGAAATGTTCTCTCATTTGAGACGTATTGGCCGTTTCAGGTAATTAATAATAGCCTATGTAATATTAATCGCCTACAAACACTTTTATCCTTCACTAAATTACTGTATTAATGTAGGAAGTAGGATATTTTACATTTTACTATTTTTCATTTTATTAAATTCCAGGCCCTTACATTTTGTTATGTCGTTGATTATTCCATAATTTCTTGCTATCCTTAGAAAACACTTTTGAGTAACTCTATGAATTATATCAAACATCCTATTGTTCAATAATTGACTACTAAACATTTTGGTAATTATAAATACTATTGTACAGCCTTTGAGGAAGACTTCGTTCGTAGTGAAAATTTTCTTCGATAAATTGGCGTTTACATTATACTTGGAGGATCAGGTTGTTGAGATTTATGAATCTATTCGTTTTCTTGTGGTTATCATCTTGTGCTTTTATATGTCTTATTTCAGGTTTCCCTTCAGTGCTTACCATTTTATGCTTTTTGTAGCAGTGCTTTGATAGATATTCTGATTTGTTTACGCATCTTTTTAATTTTTTTATTCTTTCACGTTCCCATTGGAACATAGGGCTTCAGGCTACAGGCTCGAAGTTTTTGTAGCAGTGTTTATTTTTACATGATGGAGTTTCTAGCCTCATGCCCGACCTTCCCTCTTTGCCAGTTCTATTACTGAGTTAGCGAGGTAAAGGAGTGAGTCGGCCGGGGATCGAACCCCGGACCATGTAGCATGGTCGGCGAGCATCCTAGCCGTTGTGCCACAGAGTTATTTTGATGTTAGCCGTGATGACGTAATCGGTAGTTAACTCCTATCTAGATTTCATAGCTTCGAAAGTCTGTTGATAACCTTTTGACTAAAGCAACGAGTAAAAAGGGTGTGAATGTTCAACAGAAATGAGTCACATCAAACTGCCAGGTACGCTGTCTGCCAATAAGCAGGAAACCACTTGATTTACTCACAATAACTGAAACTGAGTTACAGTGCATAATGGCATTATATCGCTTACTGAGTATAGTAATTACTCACAAATATCATAGGTTCGGGTTTGGAAAGTCAGTTGCCTACTATCCAATGACCGATACTTGAAAACGTGGTTCTTTAATATAAAATTAGTAGCAAACCCAAATATACTAAGTTTGAATATTAAACGGAGTAAGACATTAAATAGTTAATTCTAAATTAGTCCTAGAGCGTGTCTAGTATTTTCAGTGATTGCTTTCCTATTTTTCCGCCTTGTTACAATCATGGTAATAAGGTTATTATATTGATATTCCCTTGTCCTATAAAATGTATGGTTTATATTTTATTATTAAGATTCAAGTTCTGCATATAGATATAATTTTGTAAACTAAATACCCCCTTAAATTCGTAGTGTCACTTATAAACTATTTTTATATTAAACATAATAAGTCAGAAAAATCTGATAAGTAAGAAAGACGTTAGTGGCATCATTTATTCATTTTGAGGTTAACGATTGGTTGGTTGATCAGCGGAAGTTAGATGAACCTAATAGATTTTCAATTCTTTATTTATTCGTTTACTGGTTATATAACACTGTGGAATGGCATTATTTATTATTCAGTAAGTAATAGTGTTTCACTGTGTGGTACATCCAATAAACAAGTTAATATGGAATTACATACCACCACAGCGTCCAAGTTTTAATAGATCTGATATCACTCTAGTGCGTTTGCCTTCTTGCTAAACTCGCTATACGTTTAGTGAAGACTTATTCGATAGTAATGTTTAACAGAAACTTCTTCCCATTTCAAGCTGGTTTATTTATTATTGTTCGTAATGATGTATGCTAAGCGTAATATAAACTTATGTACGGATAGAATTTTCTAGTTATGTTTTTACGCATTATGCGACACTGAAATTTCATCATACTACATGTATATATATGTATATGTATATATATATATGCGGTGAATGACCCATTTTACGGAAATCGACATTTATTCCATCTTGATACTATTATTATGGTGCGCAGTCTGTTTATCTCTGCCTCCATGATATTTTGTACAACATACACTGACTGCGTATTAGTATTATGTTATCATGTGTTGTGTCTGTGATTACGAGAACACCTATATGTAATATATATATATATATATGACACTATGCATCATTTTCCTCCTGATGCTCGTGTGTATTTATGTTGCGTGTACATGTTTTTTTTTTGTGTAATTTCAATATTTATATACAATGCACGTATAATGGTTAATTCAAAATCGTTATTTAGTTAGTTGAATCAATTATCTTCAAATATTAAAATTCCTTTCGATTATTTATCAAATATACAAATGATTATAGCGTAAACTTATTGCATGAATACTCTTATGTTAACCACCAGATGTTCAATACTACACTTTGTACGTCGTTATTGCCGCCAATTTTATTTTATAATTGTATACCATGTTTTCGCTATTTATTTATTTTATAACTCTCGACTATATTAGTACTTCTCAGTTGCTTAAGTTATTTAAGCCGCTTCATTAGATTTTGATCTTCATATTGCTTGAAAGATAAGCAGCTTGAATCTGTGCTTTATTGTCATTTATCTTTGTTCATTGCTAAACCTTAATTAGTCTTGGAAGCAACTGATACATTGGTACTTATTAGTGATCATTACCATTGAAAGATGGCTATAATTGTAACGAATAAAAGCATATGACAAGATGTGCGACGGAGTTTAAGAAGAAGGGATTAGATAATTTTACATCTATCTCACAGAAGTTTTTTCGACTTGGTTGTGTTCCATGATCTAGGTGATTTAATTGTCCTTTCAGGCAACATCTTCAGCTCTTACTTCGGCGGGAACTGGATTTTTTTTGAATTCTCCGTGAGTTATATATCTACCTCTCCTAATGAAGTTGGCTGTGATTAGTTATTTTCAGAGGTTTTACCTTTGTGATAATTTGTGTCGCTGTCGACCGCTTTATTGCCGTTTACGGTATACTACTTTTCGCAATTAGTAGTGCTCTCTGAGCTGGTTGGTTTAGTTGCGGAGCTTTCATCGTCCTTCTGGACAACATCTTCAGGGCAATTTTTAGCATAAAGTGAACTGATTTAAATTTCCTATGAGTGATAGAATTGCGTCTCCTGGTAACCATCTTTACATATGTATTGATCGTTTCTTATTGATTCGGATTTTAAACTTTCTCGTCACGTGATTTGTTCCAGATTCGAAGTCGAACGATACGTACACTTTGACCTACATGCTACTTTTCCTAACTGACGCAGTTTATTTTGTAGATAGTGTTGATCTTGTCCTCTTTTGTTGTTGGGTCTTTTGGTCTGCATAGCTTTGACTGAAGTGACTGTATTGGTTTGTGTGGGTTATCTACTCCGAATAGTTTCACAGTAGTCTAGCTGTTGTTTAAAGAACATTCTTCACATACGATATAATGAATTTTGACCTAATTTCTGAGTTTGGGTTTTTCGGGTAGTTCCATTCGAGTGTTGATACCTTTTGATAAATTTGCGAGGATATACATTTTTCTCTTTTATTCTTCTAAGGATTACAGTAGCGAAATGCGTCTTGGTTTCTCTGAGTAATATTTCTACACAGTTTAATTCATCTGCTGTTGGATTATTGCTAACCTACCTGCGTATTTGGTTTGTGTGATTGTTCAGTGGTTCTTTTTTGGGTTTGTTGTGGCGCAGAATATTGTAATACATGTCTTCTTCTGCTTAAAAAGTTCAAAAAATGGCTAGTAATAAAATGGCTGCATTACATTTTTGAGTTTATGGCATCCCTCTTCCAAATAAAATGCATGAAAGTAAATTTATACAGAAGTAACTGAAATCCATTTAGAGGATCTTGTGTGATAATTTTATAAGTCATATCTGGCAGTTCAACTTGGAACGTGTACATCATCTTCTGTAGAAGTTTTGACTTAGGTTTTTGAGATTCTGTGGATAATCAGATGTGATGAAAATGACTTGAAAACTCTGAAACGTCTATCCACAATTTACTGATGTTTTTAAAAAAAAATTTTAAATGATGTAGATTTGATGTAGTTCCCAAGAATAACGTTTACTCCTACTGCGTATACTCAGTAACTGATTCTTAAATAAGCCGAAATACATTTCATAGCTTCATCTATGTGAACAGTTTTATCACTGAAAGCTGTTGTGCAACAGTAATAATATGTGTATTATAGACCAAACTTATGGGCATATTCGTGTAATAAGGTATGTTCGCTTACTTTAATTATTTAGTTACTTTTATCGTATGATACAATTCATACTTTGATTAAACCCTGTATACTAGTTCCAGTGACTCGCTTTGGAGAGAAAAAGGAGTAATTGCTTTAATTTACTTTCAATAAGTTATTTCTTGTTAACAGGTTCACAAAGTTCATAGTTTTCAAATATTCAGCCAGCACACTGTAATTACTTATGAACTTACGGATTAAAGTCCAGGTAATGTTAAGAAATCTGTCTACCTCAGTACTAGATGTCAAACGTTCCTATCGTTTTTTCTTCAGGAATGATTTCAGTGCACCTATCAGTTCGAATACCCTATCGCAAAGGCATTTGGTTTGAATAGTAACCGGGTGAAACAATAATAGTTGCTGCGCTCTGATATGTGCCTGGACAAAATGTCGTCCTACAGCAACACTGATATATATATATATATATATATAGGATAATTTCAGGCAGGGAAGCATCTTACATAGTAAAACGTCAGCAACTACACACAATGGATTTATTCCCCTTGATGAATTTGAATAAAGCAAGAACAACAGTGGTTTGTGCAGAATAATATGGTACCATCATTTATTTCGTTGGCGTCTCATCAGCTGCTTACAGCCCAAATAAATTATGAGGTGCGCGTACAGAAAAGTTTTAACATACTTGCAAATTTTACATGTTGTCAGTTGACAAAAAGTTCCACAATAAGTGAACAGTGCTCAGAAAATTGCGCTTATATAGTTTTTACACGGGCAGTTCAAGTTTAAACAAAATAAATCTATGCATACAATAGTAAAGGAGTTACGTAATAACATGTGCCCAAAAGCCTACGTCTCAAGGGAAAAAATTCTTATAGTAGCGCTATTACTAGACATCTTCTCGACACGGTTCATGAGGTAGAAATTGGGAAATCCTTTAAAATTATCAATAGACAAAGGAGTTCCATTCTCCTCAAGTTTGCCAAAGCAATTTGTATCAAAAGCTTGAAACGAGATTTATGTGTTCAAAAAGAAGCAGCTATTAATCTTTCCTTGCCCTGGTAACCGAATGTCTTTATTCTCTCATCTGATTACGTAATCTTTATCTTTAACCTCACCTCTTATATAATCTATAATTTTGCTTGTCTCTTGTTTCTATGATTTGAGTTGAACTCAGTACATTGTTACCCAATTTATTAGTCACTCTATATATAACGCATATTTTGTCTTTATTTCGTAACTCCTTTACTATTGTATGCATAGATTTATTTTGTTTAAACTTGAACTGCCTGTGTAAAAACTATATAAGCGCAATTTTCTGAGCACTGTTCACTTATTGTGGAACTTTTTGTCAACTGACAACATGTAAAATTTGCAAGTATGTTAAAACTTTTCTGTACGCACACCTCATAATTTATTTGGGCTGTAAGCAGCTGATGAGACGCCAACGAAATAAATGATGGTACCATATTATTCTGCACAAACCACTGTTGTTCTTGCTTTATTCAACTACACACAAGCTGTGGAAGAGCTTTATAAGCAGTGTCAATATAGTGGTAAAAAAGAAAGGGTTTATGATCACATAAATGCAAAAGACATATCAGATGTTGATTTATAAGGACCGATGATAAGTAAACTGATGAAATGGATGCTATGAGGAACAACTGAAGAAATCTGAGTCACTCGTCTGTTGTTCATTATGAAGCTATATTTTGGGTGGAATACTAATTCAGAATCACAAGTACTTTTATAGCTAAAAGAAGTATAAGTAAACCTAAACAAGACGGGAAGTAGCAACTTAATAGATTGTCTGCATCGGCATTTAGAAACGGCAGATAAGGCTGATTAGTGAAATCTATTAAGATTTTATCTAAGCTACAATTACCACCTAATTCTTGGCGGATTGTGGTCACTGGTTGTCTAAACTAACAATGCTCTCACCAAATATTCTCATAAGACCCAAAAAGATTAGGTGTCAATTGATTTCTAATGAGAACTAGTATCACAACCCATCTCTTTGTGTTAAACAAAGTCATTTAACAACTAAGTGATGTTTTGTAGTGCTAGATATGGAAAATCTGTATAGTTCCCTGACCTTATTATGAATTTATTGATAAAATTCTTCACTGAATTCTGTAGTACAGTCACACTTACTGGTGTCCTGATGCTATCGGTATTTGTTAGCCTGGGGGAGAAATTCAATTCCTCTGACCAAGTGTTCTTATGACAGAAGTTTGCTAGACGGTAACTCAGCAAATATATTGGCTAACGGAAAGTCCTTTACTCGAACACAACTCTTTCACAACTTCTAGTTAGCTATCTTCTGAAAGTGATGCTCATTTTATTTTTTTATTGAACTTCTGATGGGCTCCCCTTTTTATCTGCTGAAACATTCTACTTTTCCTTTATCAGTTACTTAGCTCACAATTAGTGCAAAAAGGATGCTTATCTTTTTACGGAAGGTACTAACAACATACAAAGTGACAGCTTCAGAATGTATGGTGTGTATTTCCGATCTTTCAGGTGTAAAATGTTACTTGGCGACTTTTCTGCACCAATCGTCTGACAAGTAAATAGAAATGATTGAAAGTGTTGCCCCTTTTCCTCATGTAATCCATTCAGTCATTATGAGTTAGTGGCCGACAAAATCTTGATACGGATAAACAAAGGCTATCTGGGACATACTAATTTGCACTGCGTACTGCACAGCTGCATTACTTATGGCGAGTATTGCGCACCAATGTTGTCCTACTTTATAGGTGAGAAAAGTTGACACTGGAGATAAAGAGTTTTTGAATATAACTGTTTATTCTTCTCTGGAGTTTTATGTTTCCAGTTGAATTTCCGTGTGAAAGTTACGTTTAAACTCTTAGGCAAGCGTAGTCACTTAATGGTTATTTTCTGTTTCTGGAATTAACTGGGACATATATTTTGTTTACCCTTAAGCACTAACCGTTGTTCGGTCGAGTGAGTATGAAGAAATTGGTCGCCAGACTAAGGTTCGCCATCAATCCACCAGTCTGAACAATTTAAGTGGAGTGCAGGTTACTTTCTGTACGTCAGAAGGCGAAGAAAATGGATAGTTATAGGACTTTGGATACCAAAGATGTATTTATATTTTAATCCTACTTTCATTGTAGTATAGCTATGTATATTTTTGTTTCATGGCATCTAAACATTTCTCGTGAACGTGTTTTCATATTTTTTCCTTCCTTACACTACCATTTACTTAATTTGCGAATCTATGTAGTGGAAAGTTGAACCAGCATGCGGTAATATTGTTTCCTGTATTTGATGATTGTGCGTTTGACGTATCATATTTGTACTGAATGTGAATAAGTTTATTTACAGATTTTCTGAGAAAGGATAATCTCAATAACAGATTATCTTGAAACTTTTTTAAAATATTTTGTCATGTTAGGTGTTTATTACTGAATTGCGTGAATTGATTGTATGGTTCATTTTAATGTGTACCAGTAATGTGTGGTATGTTCTGTTTTTATATCATCATTATCATCTAGTGATAAAAAACTGAATAACTTCTACTTACCAGCTTATTTTTTTCCATGACATGAAATATGTGTCAATGTTGTACTTTTAACTGACCTAATTTTATGAGTATATATCCTGAATAATTAGTATTCAACATGTCGTATACTTTGCAGAGAAATGAAATGTACTGTGTTTTTGTCAGCTTATCGGGAGTATAATGAGTTAAAGTTGGATCTGCTCTCTTCACCCTTACTAATTATGTAGTTCACAGATTTCCTATTTTAAACAATATGAATTTCCTTATCCTGTGAAACATGACTGCTATGAAAACCGGTTACTTATTTTTGCCACTGATTATTTATTTTCCTTACCAGTTGTTTCATTTGAGTATTACTTAGTATTTTTGCTGTTGTTGTTGTTGTTGAGTATTTCATAGAGTTAAGTTGTCATTTCTATTGTGATTATTTTTGTAAATATATTTGATGAAAGCTTTTGTATACTGATGAGTTTGCTTAAATCAGTCTCTAGTAAATAATTCTTCCCTCATACTCTAGAATTATTAACTGTAATTATCTCTTACTCTTCGTAATACTGTGACGTTAACGCTTAGCTCTTTAGCCATCTTCAAACTGAAGAATTTTCTCTCGACTGTTGGTAAAAACCAAAATGTAGCATAGTGTATAATACACTGTGCTTTGGGTTACATCAACTTGAACTTTTCGTTCATCTCGTGAATTGTATCTCTAATGCATCCTTTGGTATGCTTCATAAATAAGGAAATTTGCTTGATATGCAGTACAACAGAAAGTTTTTCTCTACCAGAAACACCTTGATTTAAAAAAAAAAACTATCGGTCACTAAAATAGGTAATTGTAAACCTTACACGGTTATCGTCTGAAATTCCCGTGGGTGTTCAAAACAAGTCGTCCATATACTTCACTGGTGATCAAAAGGAAGGTTCCTTTGACTAATATTCATATTTTTCGCAGATCCCTTTTGTACTTGTCAGTCATTTTCATTCTGGAATTGTCTCTTATTTATCAAGTGTTTTGTTTACTTTCTATATAGTGAAAGTCATTCAAGATTCTATGCTAGTCAAGTTGTTTTGGCCTTTGAATATTTGCATCATTTGGAATTAGTCTACAGAGATTTGAAACCGGAGAATATTCTTATCGATCAATACGGGTACTTAAAGGTAATATATTGTTTCGTTATATTTTCTGTTCAACCATGAGAATCTATATTAAGCTGATTTTTGTACATTTTGACTTTTGGATGACTTTGGGTAAATCAAATGCAGTGAAGGGGAGTTAGTCTGTTTTCTAATTTTTCTAATCAAACTGCAGAAAAACAGGTAGTAGTGCTTCATTTTTCACTCTAAAACAATATCTCAAGTTTGAAATGACTGGGAGTAGCGGGCAATCCAAAAGAAGTGCAAACCATAGAAAACAATATTGAGCTTTTAAAAAGAAGCAATTAGGAAACACACCATTTGAAATAAGTTAATGAGACTGTTTAGTCTGTATTTAGACTGAATCTTGAATACAAAAATTGGGATTCTGTTCAATTGTATGCTTACTTCATGATAAGAATCATTGTCCTCTTTATTGAACATCCAGCTTTACACTGGTGTCTTCATTCTCTAAAGAATTGATTTAAGAGACTATTTCTCGAATGTCTGACTTGGACTAGGAATAATTGTGTAACATAATACAGATAAGCCTTTTCAAGATCTCCATCTTCTAGAGAGGTCTTCACCTGAATACAGTGTAGTCACTTAGTGTAAGGAAAGGAGTACAAATATATTTTATGCAAAATATTGTTTTACTAAACAATTATGTTTTCATTATTTTTATATTCCATAAGCTGCTCGTCTGACCTTTATATGTTTAAATAAAGTAGACAAATAAATAAATGGGAAATAGGACAATTTGATAGGCAGATAGAGGAATAAGTGATAATAACGGGAACCAACTCGACAGTGAAGCACTTCTGGAGGTTTAACAGTCCCGGTTACAACGAACGAAATACGAATTTCTACCACTAATGTCAAATCAGTACTTTTATATGGTTTTGAAGCTATGAATATACGTCACCAAAAGCATTCTCAACGGTTTGTCCCCTCCACACAATTCTGAAGACTGATACACAGAAAGCCATCCAGTCAGAAAGGATAAGCAGCGAGAAACTTTGGAAGTCAACGAACCAGTCAAGTACCTTTCATCTAGTAAATATGCGGAAGGAAATTTAGATGGATTGAAGAAACGCTGAAGATACATTCAACTGGGAGGAGAGCCGATGGGTTGGGTGTTTGAAAGTGACAAGGAGATCTTATGAAAAGGAAATGAAAGCTTGCAGACAGTTGTGGAACTAACTGAAGGTTACAGAAGAGAACCGAGTGGAATGGAAACGTGTTCCTGGGACCTTAGGTTCCACCTGGAAATTAAGGATGGAATATTAATAATTATGAGTGGTTTATCTTAGTTGAAATCAGATGGTAGGCGGCGACAGACAAGGCCTCCTGTGGAGCCCTACCTGTTAGTCCTCAATAAGAGAGTTTTCTACCTCCCGTGCTGTTTAGACTAACGTTAATTAATTCCTTTGCGATGACTGTGTTTGATGGTACGAGAATTCTCCGGCATACAGATGCACATTTTAATGTAGCTAGTAATCAAATATATGAAATTCTTCATAAATATACTGTCTAACTAATTGATAAAATTAAGCCTTTTTACACTTTTTCTCTAGTCTTTACATAGCTCATTTGGTAGTTCTGTTACACACACATTATGCCTAAGGCTATTGATAAATTACTATTCATCGCCTCATAATGTTTATTTTAAAGGTTTACTTTGTGTAACCAACGTATCTATAAACACATTTTGCAGATGTTGTCTATATTGTAATTTATCAGATAATAAATTTTGTTTATACTGTTTATACTGAGATTAGTTCAACTATGGATTTGATGTTATCATATTTCCTCGAACTGCCAGCAGTTAATGTGATGTATTTACATCCCTCTATAAGATATTATTTTTCATAGGATTTTGATGTTATCTCATTGCCTGTTTGGCATAAACATTTAGAAGAAACGTTTTCAGCATTCTCGTCTAAATGTTACATTTGCTGTATAAATTCCTTTGCAGAATACTGTTTGATTACAATCTGCTAACTAACTAATAGACTAAGTGACCAATGAACTGACTATCCTTTTTAGAATAATCTTAGTATGAATGCGAAACTCGACACACAAAATATACTAAGTTTACTTTTTGGTTTGTCTTTTAGTTGCGTTTTTTTTTTAACCAACAGATATCTTTTCATCATACAACCAACACTTATGTTACACTGATAAGTGCTACTGCAACAAACTTCATTTTTTGTTTTTTTATAATCCTAAAAAACTAGAAAAGCAGTCAATATGAATCTTAGGTTTAGCTGTAAATTTAGCTTCCTACATGCGTATGTGTATACTTTTGCGTGGTCTGTGTATCCTTTATGTCCCTCCCTTAAAATTTTAAATGATAATTTTTGTTACAAGGATCACAGAAGTGGGAATTGGGAAGACAGACAAAGGGAGAGAGAAAGAAACAACTAGAAAACCCAACAACAGACATGATCAGTCACTCTATAAATAGATAATCCTTAGATAGGGTTGCCGTATAGCATATATGATCTATTGGGCGAAGTTGACGATGTTTTGTGGATTATTATTATTTCCCTTAATTACTAAAGGAACATAAGGCTTCAGCCGCTCGTCTCCATTGCGTTGGGTACTCTGCCAACGTTTTCGCCTGGCTCCATGTCTTCCCACATGCTTTCATCTCCACTTCACAGGACCTCCTCCATGTCACCCCACCCTCACACTGACGACAAACTCGCTGCTTTCTATTCGAGTCCCACTCGAGCAATGGCTTGGCGTGTGATGTCAATTGATGGTTTTCTCAGAGTGTGGCTAATCCGTCTCTATTTCTTCCTTCATATTTGTTGCACCACCGGTTCCTGACTGGTTCGCTCCTGGAGATGCCTGTTGCTTATCTTTTCTGGCCGGCCGTCTGATCTCGAGTATTGAGCAGAGACAGCTGTTGATGAAGGTCTGTAGTTTGTATGAAGTGCCTTACCTGACGTGCTAAGTCTCTGATCCGTATATTTGCACTGACTTCACACTGCAGTTGAAAATCCGGATCTTATTTTTCAGACTGAGTGCTGTTGACCTCCACACAGACTTGAGAGAAATGAAAGCTTGCCTTGCTTTCCCGATTCTTGTTTTGATATCCTCGTCAGCTCCGTCCGCCTATAGTTGAAACAATGCTTCTCAAGTTGGTAGGTAAAGGAGGTTGTTTCTTTGAGATTTTTCCATTTATGCTGATTGTTGTCTTTTGTTATTACTGTTGTTCTTGTCCAGGAATCTTCATCACCTCTGTTTTCTCTATGTTCACCTGAAGGAGGTCTTATCTTTGATGCTTCTTCTGCCAACTTGTTGCTTTTCACTTGCATATCTTCCTGTTTGTGGGAAATCAGACATATATCATAGGTGAAGTCTGGATGCTGCAAGTATTTCGTGTGAGTCCATTTTATATCTGTTTCCTCGCTGCCTGCTGTCTGTTACATTATCCAGTCTACCGCAATCAGGAAAATCATTGGTGATAGCAGGCGGCCTTGTCTTACTCCCGTCTTCACTTCGAAGGATTCCGTAAGTTTCCCGTTGTGGATAACTCGGCAAGCAGCATTGTCGTACAACTGTTTAATGAGATATATAATTGTCGGTGGCACCCTGTAGTAGAGAAGTAGTTGCCAAAGTACCTCTCGATCGACGCTGTCGAATGCCTTTTCAAAGTCAATGAAGTTGAGATAGAGAGCTGATTGCCATTGGAAGCTCTGTTCAGTGGTGATCCTTAGTGCTGCGATTTGACCGATGCGTGATTTGTTCCTCCTGAATCCAGCCTGTTCTGGTCGAGGTTTTTCATCGAGGGTGTGTTTGATTCTCTCCAGGATGATGCGGCTTAGTATTTTGCTTGGAATGGACAGGAGCATAATTCCGCTCCAGTTCTTGTATTGACCTAAGTCTCCTTTCTTTGGTAGTTTGAATAAGTAACCTTTCTTCCAATCGGCAGGTACCTTGCCCTCTTTCCAAACCTTCTCCAGTAGTGGTGTCATCAAGTCCGCTGATGTCTCTGGGTCCGTTTTCAACGCTTCTGCTGGGATTCCATCTGACCCTGCTGCTTTTCCAGTTTTTAGCATCTTGATTGCCTTCAGGATTTCTGTTTCCGTCGGAGGTTTAATGTCAACTGGTAATTCTGCTTCCGCTGTTGGTATTATTGGGTGCGTTGTAGGTGGTGGTCGATTAAGAAGTCTTTTGAAGTATTCAGCCCAGTGTTTCCTTTGCTCGACTTCTTTGGTGAGTGACTTTCCATTGTCATCCTTGATCGGCTTAATTTGTGTCAAACTTTTGCCCGATAGGTACCTAGTTGTTTGGTAGAGTGTTGCGAGGTCTCCTTTACCTGCAGCTTGTTCTGCTTCACTTGTCATGGTTTCATAATACTTTCTTTTTTCTTCTCTGGCACTCTTCTTCACTCTTTGGTTCAGCGTGTTGTAGTTTGCATTCAAATCCTGTTTTTGTTGCTCGTCGGTGCACTGGAGAATCTTTTGTTTCACCACCCTTCTCTCTTCTACCAGTCTCCAAGTGTCCGTATTGAGCCACTGTTTGTCCTGTCTCTTCATTCTGCTTAGAACTTCCATGCAGGTTTGACTCCACACTGTTTTCAAGTTGTTCCATTGCTTTTCGAAGCTGACCTCTTCGCTAGTGTTGATTTGTGTCTCGGCTTTGTCCTTTATGCTTGCAGTGAAGATGTCCTTTGTGTCCTGGTCCTTCAGTTTTTGAGTGTTGAACTTGGCTTTTGGTCTATCTGCAGCTCCTGTTTCTCTGAAAGCCTTTAATTTGATTTGGATTATCCCTTGTACGAGATAGTGGTCTGAGCCAACGTCTGCTCCTCTTCTTACTTTTGTGTCCAGCAGGCTGCGCCTCCACTTCCTTGAGATTGAGATGAAGTCGATTTGGTTTTTGGTTCGCCCATCTGGTGACACCCATGTAGCCTTGTGGATATCCTTGTGTTTGTATACGCTGCCACCAATCACTAGTACACTGAAGGCGCAGAAGTCGGCGAAGAGTTCTCCATTTTCATTCATTTCTCCGAGAGCTTCTATACCCATGATGAGTTCCCTTCCTGTGTTGTCTGATCCCAGTTTGGCGTTCATGTCTCCCATTAGTATTTAAATGTCACCAACTGGAGTAATGTCCGTTGTTGCCTGTAGAACTCTTCTTTCTTTTTGAGACCTGCGTTGTTTGTTGGTGCATAGCATTGTATAATTGTCGCTTTCCTTTCTTTTGAGTTGAATTTGGCAGTCGTTATCCTGGGTGAGATGGCCTGCCATTGTGTGAGGGCCTTCGTTGCCTTTGGTGACACCATGATAGCCACACCCTCGGTGTGCTCGCGTTTGTCTTCTGGGTGATCGGAGTAGATCATCGACTCTGCTGTTGACAGTTTGGTGAGTCCACTCCCATTCCATCTGCTTCCCAGTACTTGAACACCATATCTTTTCATCTCATTTGCAATCTAGGCAGCTTTGCCAGTCTCATACATTGTGCGGACGTTCAATGTCCCCACACATACTTTTTATTTTGTCGCAAGAACACTCGTCGTACTGAAGTTTCTATTGCAGCTTTGTTTACAGGTTGGGGTTGCTAGCCTGACGCCTGGGAAGAAGGGGTTGTTACATGAAAATATGGGTTAGAGGGGAGCGACCTTTTGGGTTGCTCCCCTTAGAATCAGGAAAACAAGGAATAATGCAAACAGAACAACACTAGCAAAAGGAAAAATGTCACAACGGGAAGGGTAGCGACAACAACAAAATAACCATAGAAGTAGTATCGCTTGCAAATACAGCTAACAAAAGTGGTATCAAAACCATAGACTCAATGACTTGGGTCAACTTGGGCATGTAAATCCAACAATATATACAATTGTAGATATTAGTTGGCGTTAAACAGTCGCAAAATGCCAACCAGTTAGTCATAGGTATTATCAGTCGGCAAGATTATATACACAGATTTAGTGTTCGAAGGCAAACTAATTACAGTAAATTCCACAACTTCCTGGCCAGAAACACCAGAGAAATGAGAGTTTTATGTAACTAAGCAAACATAGCGCACTAATCGAAAAGCCTGTTTTGCGGATAAATTTCACTAATTCTCAGCCATTGCTTAGGCGACTATTATATTGGCAAGTATTGTTTTACTTGTTAACATGAAAGATATGATTAATTATCACTGAATCTATCAATACCCTATCATTATAATTTCCACAATAATTGTTCTTATCTGGATTGAAATTCAGCTTGTAGGAAGGAAGTAATTAGAATAAGATCAAGCGAATTATGTTCATTTGATTATTAAAAACAACTCTGAAGTTTATTAATTTTAGGACTCTTTTCCTGAGAAATTTAGCAGAATTAGTCAAATTTAAAAAGGATTTAGAATTTCTGATATGTTTTATTCTCTGCTGCTCTTTTTGTTATGCTTTAGTTATCTTTAAATTTCTAGTCACACAAATCTATTCATAATTTTAAGTAGAACTTCCAACATTCGTTGATGGAGATGATAAAAAATAACAAATGAAACATGTAATGTGGTTTTATTTTGGGTAAATAAAAATTTCGAAGGTACTGCCCACTGTCTTCATACACACAGTGATGTAGTATTGGATAACTGGATGACGTTTTGAACAGAATTTGTTGCTCATAATTATATCAATGTACTCACAATAAAACATAACTTACTGTCAATACATTTTCTGTCTCCCTTGTTGCTTATTGTAATTCTGCATATATCCGGTGCAGGCGCTGAGTCATTTCATATATTTTCGAATCATTTCTGGTGGATAGTTGTTCAGCAGGTTTAGTTAAATGTTTATGTATTTGAACCGGTAGCCTAACTAGTATTAGAAGATTTAGAAAATAACGTCAAAGAAATGGAGAAAACATTACTAGCGAATAACTTCCAATCAGATCATATTCAAAAATGTATGAAGATCCATAAGAAAAACAAAAGTAATAATGAAAATAATAACATAAATAATGAGGAATTAACAGCCCCGATAGTACTGCCACATAAAGAAGGAATATCAGAAGCTCTACGTAGGATTCTAAGTAAGGCTAAATTTAGGGTAGCAATGAAACTAAATTACTCAAAGATAAACCTTGCTGGCTTAAGGACCCAACAGATCTAATTAAGAAAAAACTATATAATTTACCAGGTAGAATGTAGTGACTGTGAGGTCAATTACATAGCTGAAACCAGTAGATCGGAGTAAATCAGATTATCGGAACATGGGAGTTTAGTTGGGCCTAGAATGATTGACCCTGCTAAGTTAGATAACCTAGAAAGAAACTCAGCCATCACAATGCATTCACCTGAATGTAATTACACAAAATAGTGGAATAGGGTAGAAGTATTAAAAGATAATATAGTTGGGTGGAAGGAGAGTAGTTAATCTTTATTCTAATCCATATTCATAGTATTAACACCAAGTGCGTACGATCGAAATGGCTCAACGCCTGTACCAGATATAGGGAGAATTGCAATGAGCAACAAAGGAGAGAATATATATATATATATAGAGAGAGAGGGTAGAGCAAATTACGAAGCCGTGTGAATACATAGACATGATTATGAGCAATAAGTTGTTCTCAAAAAGTCAGTCAGTTCTCAGTTTTGTCGTGGTGTGAGAGCTGTCAGTGGCTCACACAATCAGACTGCGGCGAAAGTATTATACTATTCAGTCATTAAGTGGAATTCATTGACTTGTGAATTCCAACTTTGAGATCCTCGGTGGGGTCATGGGCGAGCATTGCTAAAGAGTTGCTAACTGGGTCGGAACAGATTACTAGTGCTTCATAGTTTTTGACGGTTTTTTTAATGATGTCAGTTTGCAAAGAGATCTACCTTGAGGAGTAGTGTTTTTATTTCCAAACTTTTTAGCTGAGCATTAAAATATATGACAAGTGATTTTTCGATGGCAAATAACCTCGCTGGAAATCTGTTTGTTATAAGTAGAGATTTGTACATACCACCAACTGAGAGTAGTTCTTAGTAGTAAGTTGAGTTATCATTTCAGGTATTTTGTTTGATAATTCTAAGAAAGAAGTGTCTGCATTAACTTTTCATTAAGTAACATAAGTGTTCTGTAAAGGATTTGGAAGTATCTTCATTATTTCACCATAATCTCACCAAATACTCAACTTCATCACTATTAGATTATTAACTTCGTACTTATTCAGTATAACTGTTATTTTTATCCTTCACAGATAACGGACTTTGGTTTCGCGAAGCGCGTGAAAGGAAGAACATGGACACTCTGTGGTACACCGGAATATTTGGCACCTGAAATTATTTTGAGTAAAGTAAGCTGTGATTTACCAGTTTTACCAACCATTTGTTGGCTTTTCACTATGTGGCTTTGAAGAAACACTGGTAGAATTAGTAGTGATAATTTTTATGAATAAGGTAGATGACTTTTTATTTTAGTGGCACTGACTCCACTTCCAGACATCTCTCCACCTTTGCCTTTGAGAATGGTTTTGAGCCATGGCAATAAAAGCTTTCAATAACAGTTTCTTAGCATAGAGAGGGTCCTAGCTAGTCAGTCTATACCACTGTAAGGGGCTTAAACCAACAGTTAAATACTTCATGGATTAGTGCCATGTTTTAGTTCGAACACCACTAATTCTTTCTAACCTAATCCTGTATTAGACAACACTACTTGTCAAGGAAGGTGACAGCTCAGGTTGAGTGACACATGACACACCCATCTTGATCAAGCTAAATTCACGATTGTATTAACTGATTTCAACCCTTATCTAACGCCTTAGGCATAACCTAACTGTTACTGACCATACTGCTACACCCAGCACGAGAGAGATTGAAGACAGTTTTGGTCAAGAACCTGTAGTCTCTTGACAGAATTTGGTAACTGCGGTGTATTGAATTCCTACCTTATAAACAAATAGTAAGTCCTTACCTTAAAACTTATCAGTGTTACTTTTGATCCTAAGTGGTTATAGGTGTCTGTAACTACAAAACCTCAAACTCTGTGACTGATGTACATTTATGACGAAAATTGCTTTGAAATAAATTGTATCTACAGAAATTTAGTAAATGAATGTAGATAGTATGTTGTCAATAGTAGTGGGATCCGAAACACATATTTTCATTTAACTGTAATTGACTGAATTCCGGTAACATATTACAAATAATCAACTTTTCAGAGCTGATCGGATATCCTACTTTCTATTCTGCATCAATTCCTTATCCAAACTATCATCCAGTGTTATCGAAAAAAAATTCTTTAGACAGAATGAAAAATGTAACTTTTCATTCATTTTCCATTCTTTCTACTTCCAGTTCCTTATGTGTTGCATCTTTCCCTGTTTATTTCTGCTTTCCATTGGTGTATTTATCATTTTGTAAATTTAAATATTGTAGTAAAAACAAGCAGTGTTTGCATATGCATACAAAAGTTGTACAAATGCCCGATCCTTAAATATCAGAAATACTGGGAATAAAGAAACAACTAAACAAGTGAAGTATAGTTAGAAATCTGGAAGAATGGAAGATTATTTTTGTTTATTCCTAATTTCATCTTCCCACTTGTGATGCATAAAAAAAATCATGTGTCTTATCCATTCATACGCATCGTTCATTAGTGATTTATCTCTACAATGCCAACAGAGTTTTGTTTTTATTTTCGTGCTATATAAAGGCTTTTTTAAAACATCCAATAGGTTCACAGTAATTTACAGCTGTTTGAAGAAAACAAATGAGCAGACTGCTAATGATGACACCGATACAGGAAATTTCTGGTTGAGAGTCTAAGGTATATAGATAATTCCATTAAACAATATTTCAGTCATTATTGCGTTCATTGATCTGATACAACTGATTCCAGTTCATTTACTCAGTGAACGAATTATTTTCACATTAATAGTGCATCGTAGCTAATTTGTTTCACTAAATAAAGAATGCTGTTTTTTAATTGTGTTATTCTGTATGACTAATTTCGAGTCTCATAAATATTGCAAGTAATTGCTTGGATCTAAGGATGATATGTTCAGTTTAGCTGGTTTGCTCAAGACTCTGCAACTATGAATTTGATGATGATAGGTGTAAGTGATCGACTAATCTCGATATAATATTACATTCGCTGTGTTTCACCCACTTTTTTCTACACCGATAGATGACTTAATTTACCCTATTTTAGCCACGTTTGATCAGAACACTTTTCCAGTGTACGCATTCTTGCATATTTATAATAGTGTTGTTATTGTATTTATTCAACCTTTGATACTGAATGGGTTTTAATAATCGATAACAGCCCCGCTATTGGTATTCAATTGTCAATCCTATTTTAGTATTATACAAACCTTTGTTATGGCATGTATGCTTTTTCTTCCCTCCAGGTAGATATGTCTGTTTATCTATCACTTTTTAAAAATATATGCATGCATAGCGCGTCCTATTTGCTTTCTCTGAATTACCTGATTATTTATTCTGCCTGATTGACTTACGTGTCTGTGAATCTATTTTCTTTATCAATTTTTCTCTTCCTATTTGTATTTGTGAATAGTCATTGTATTCAATGTACAATATCTGGGAGAACGGTCACGTAGTGAGGCTTATTTTATTGTGGAATATAAGGGTGATTTAACCTAAAAGTTAGCAATCTGAATAGGTACAACAACCAGCTAGGTTTTGTACTAGCTTATGGTCAGTCCGTGGGTAAAATGAAAATATTTAAGTGCCTGAATGAGCATTGTTGACTGCAGATGCAGTTAACATTTTGTTCAGTTACAAACGTAACTTAATTAAAAATTTGGGTAGACCTTTTCTTTATCCACATATGTCTAGTTATACTAACTTAACAATACATTTCAAGCAAGAATAATAAAAAGGATAAAAATCAATTATTACAGGGTGGCATAGCGGTTAGGACGCTCGCCGACCATCCACATGGTCCGGGGTTGGATCCCCGGCTGACTCACTCCTTTACCTTGCAGAGCCAGAAATAATGCCGGTAAAGAGGAAAGGTTGGGCATGAGGCTAGGAACCCCATCCTGTAAAAACTAAACACTTCTACAGAAACTTCAAGCCACTAGCTTGAAGCCCTATGTTCCACTGGGGACGTGAAGGAAAAAAAATAACAGGGTGGGTGAAAAATTGATATTAAGAACAAGAATGTAGGTCTTTGGGAATGGATAGGACAGGTTTCAATTATATCGTAGGAACAACTACAGAGAAATGTAGTAAATTCGGGCTTACAGTACATAGCTATCATAAAGCTGTTGTAGAAGTGAAGGCCTGTGCCAATCGCTGGAGTAACATTCAAATATTCCGGTAAAAACCCAATTCTTTTTTGTCTCGCCTATGTACCTTTGTGACGGTAGAAGACGTGTACTTGGTAAAGGAATTTTTGGGATTAGGTATCTCTATATACAGGAATGATGTACACTTTTTCTGAAAATTGTCATTGGTACAGATCTTCCATGTTGCTCTACTTTCTTTCTTCGCATTGTGTTTCTTTGTCTTCTTTTCGTGTCTCTCATGTTTTTCCACAACGCTGGTTCATTCGCTCTCTTTGACGTCAAATCTATCTCTCCGCTATTTGATATTTTCATGCCGATGAACGTCTCTTTACATACTATTGATCAATCTTGTCAGTAGCACACGCCACACTTTTACTGATAATTTAATATGGTATATGCCTGTAGAGATAGTAAGAAAAAACGAACAAAGTAACACTGACGAAATAATCTCTGCTACGCAGTTATGAGATTTGTATTCATGAAAATATTTTGTGGATTATGATCCTCCATTTTAATTTAGTCTTTTTGTTTCTTTTTCGTTCACTTTAGGGTTATAATAAAGCAGTTGACTGGTGGGCACTGGGCGTTCTAGTATATGAAATGGCAGCTGGCTATCCACCGTTTTTCGCCGACCAACCAATTCAAATTTATGAGCGTATTGTGTCAGGAAAAGTATGTTTTACTGTGCGAAATTATTTGTCGTAGTTCTGCATAAGTCTTCTCAGCAATTTTATCGCTAAGTGTTCATGTCAGAAATATTTGTAGAGGAATGTCAAATCCATAAAAATAAAGTACACTGCTTCATATTTTATAGCAAATTAAGGAACAGAAAGGATAGGTTAGAAGAACCAGTTCAGTAGTGAGTAGACAGAGGCAAAGTGAATGCATAGACAGCAATGTTAATGATAGTTTAAGGGACTGTGATTAAATGTGTTCGTGTTCACTTGGTCAGTTTTTAAGCACATAACACAGTACCTTTGATGTCTGGTACTCTAGATACAAAGCTAGGTTACTTCTAACACTTTGCACACCACAGCCGTCGATGTGTTCACTGCTGACGGCGGAGGTGAATGAAGAAGTTGACTTAAAATGTGTCACATTTAAATCTACACACATCTCATCCAACTTTATAAAATCTGTCAATGTTAATGAGGTAAATTCAAGTCTCCAAATATTAATTGTGTAACTCGAAGTTAAGCATTATCAGAGACTGCTTTTCAGTTTATTCAGCATACCTTTTTGTGAGATTTGATAGCAAATTCATAGAACTTTCACAAACCGACAAATATTATATACGTATATATATGTATGTATATTAGCAAACTGTGTTATGTGCTCAAATTTCCTCATGTGACTGTTTTTACGTATTAATACATTCTCTGATACAAGCATTCAATTGCAGATGTTGGCTTATTCGTTCGCCTTTCTATGAATTTTTTGCAATAAAGCACATAAATCATTCGCAAATTTGCGACTGTTAACTCATTCATTTACTTTAGTAAAACACTGAGTTTTAGGTTGGTATTTAATTGATTTGTGACCATTTAGTATTATGGTATCTTCGTGAGTGTGTAAAGTTTTCAGAATTATAGAAGAGCGTGTGAACACGTATAGCTGAAAATAAAAATCCAGACAAATTATAGCTCAGTGAAAAACAGAAGAAATCATTCATACGCGTCTCACCAGTGAAATCTACATGTAGTTACTGTTAGAGAGTTGTTTTTTTCGTTTGAAGAGTTTCCGACGTCATTCTAAGTAATTTAAGTACACTTTTCTAGACGAGAAAAGGCAAGCGAAGAAAAGCAGCACATTAGAAATGTCAACTGAAAATTTTCTTTACTAAATTAACATTTAATATGTTGATTACCGTTGGTGTGGTAGCACTTAACTTCCTTCTTCACTGATTAAAGTGAGTTTATGACATTCGTTAACAGCGATGCCATTTTCACGTAATGACATACCTAATATATTATGTAGATATTTCACAATAAATTATAAATTAAAATTTTTATATAGTATTTATATGGACGGCTTGAGAGTTCGTGCTAGTCAGTGACAGTGAATGTTGCTTCATTATTATATCTAGGGTTCAGACTTCAAAATCAATCATATAAAATTTCCTAGTCATGATTTTATGATGATATTTGTGGCCTATAAAAAATAAGTTTATCAGTTCTTCAACAGTTCATGAAATTAGAAAATTTTTATTTTGAATAAACATGGAAATGTCAGTTAGTTTTAGAAACCTCCGAAGTGGTTCAAAACTACCCGCCAGTGAAAACTGCTTACTCTAATTTCTTATGTTGGATCTTTGTTAATTTTGTAAATAACTAGAATCTACTTCTACAGTAACATTTTCAGCTTGATGAAGGTTTTTCATCATACCTGCATCGATTTTTAGAGTACTGGTAGTTAGCCTATTCACTTTGCAGTCATTTTTATTACTGGTTTTTAATCATAGTGCAAAATATCACACTTAAGTGTATGCATTCTCCAGTGATATATTTTCTGGTTCTATGTATAGCTGGCTAGTCATTGGTTCAAATCAAATCACTGACTGTCTGATTTTAGATGTTTACTTACTGAAGTTTAAAATAAAACCCGGTAGTGCACGTAGCCTTAACACATCGTGAATGGAGTAGGACTAGTTGACAAGTATTCATAAGGGTAGTATCAAATGTGTACTGGTCGATGTTCCTTAATATTCCCTAATTGTAATCGTTCCTAATCGTTAACATTTTTCATTTTCTACTCGATAGTTCTTCACAGTGCTGAGTGACCCCTTCATAATTATAAGAAATCGACTTCGCACACATTACTATAGGCATAATCTGTTTTAAATAGTTTATGGAGTGATTTCTATGACTAGAAGAGCTATATTCAATCTTATTGACCAGTGTTGATTTATGCTGACTGGTGTAATTTACATCCCTCTTCTCATATTTCTGAAATATACTACTTCTTAAACAAACTTCTATGCAGTTCATGATTCGAAACTGTAATCACTGCATCAAAACGACTTTCCTTTGCTAGACATATGTACTTTTTTAGTCTCAAAAGTTATTTTAAAATGTGATAATATCAGATAGTCATAAGTCAACTGACAGTTTAATTTCCGTAAGTTATAAAAAGGCGCACTTTTTTATAATGAATAGCCAAAATTTCAAATATAGAACCATCATAGACCATTACAAAAATAAGAGAATTTATTAAAATCTGTTACACATCACCGGAAAGTATTCAACGGATCAGCTGAAAGAAATCCAGGTTGAAGGAAGCACCAAAAGGCCTCTAAAGTCTAAAAAATGGACTTCCTGTTCAGATTTCAATAGAGTCTGAGTACACGTTTCTTAAAGTTCTTTTGGATTATTTAAAATTATACCACTTAAGCCAATGGATGAATAACTTCACTATTACATAAACTTATAGCCTTTGGTATTCGTTTTCGTCCCGTGTTCGGTGAATGTGAATGGAAATCGCATTCAAGTTAGGATAATGATGAAATTACTTCTTTGCATAAAGCTATCAGATGTGTTGACTGTTCTGCTTCATTTTTTCATGTTGTTTTAGTATCTGAAATCTCACGGAAGCATTTCATGTTCACATATATATATATCTTTATATGAGCACTTACAGAAACAGCAGTAGAATAAGTCGTTTCATTTATTTTACACCTCTTCATGTGTACTTATTTATTTACTTGGTAGACACCATATGACTCTGAGAGGCGAATTTCGAGATATCTCAAATTACTACGAAGATCAATAAACTGAAAATTGTTGAAACTTTCTTTTCTTGATCAAAAACGCCCATTGGAAATTTAAAAAGACTGATTACTGAGAAAGAATTTTCATTTTTATAACTTTCTCAAGTTCAATAGTTATATATCCACAAAAATGAAAAAATTAAAGCTGTTAACACCATTAATAGTTCCTGAACAAAAAGAAGGTTCAAAGAACTGTTAATGCTGGTAAACGACAAGTAATGTTTTCTAACAACCGGTTGTGTTTACTCAATTGAAAGATGAAGTACCTAGACTACCCACCTCTAGTTGTATCTACCAATTCTAACTGCGCTTGTGGAGCGAGTTATATCAGCCTTTTCTACAGAAACTTGATTTTTCGTGCTCTGGAACATCTACCAGTGTGGTTAAATACAGGTGTAGTGGGAAGCATCAGCAGAGCGACACTAGAACACCTAATCCAAACTAACCACAAGGCTGACATTGAAGAGTCCTTCTCCATCATCTATCGGGCACCAAAGAAATTGCCAAAAGCATCCCGGTACCGAATACTCCAGATAAAAGAGGCTATTGCGACTCGTCTGAAACAACCAGTGCTCTGTGAGCAGAAGAAACGGGTCCACCCAGCCACTACTACTTCCCTGGCCTTCTGTTGAACCTATAAATCCATGAATTCCGTATTATTATATTTTCTAATTTGTCTGATATTCAGTGTACTGTTATGTTGATGCATATTATCACAATTACAGATGTTATTGAACTATAATCTGTTGATGTTATTGATTCGCTGTTATCTAAACACTAATGTCGTTAATTGGTTAATAATGGCCACTAACACTTTCCCAAAAGAATGATTACTGAACAAAGAATATTCTTTTCGATAACTTCATCATCAGGTTCTACAGTTAAATATACATAATAATGAATTAGTGTTATTAACAACATTAGTGTTTAGATAACAGCGAATCAATAACATCAACAGATTATAGTTCAATAACATCTGTAATTGTGATAATATGCATCAACATAACAGTACACTGAATATCAGACAAATTAGAAAATATAATAATACGGAATTCATGGATTTATAGGTTCAACAGAAGGCCAGGGAAGTAGTAGTGGCTGGGTGGACCCGTTTCTTCTGCTCACAGAGCACTGGTTGTTTCAGACGAGTCGCAATAGCCTCTTTTATCTGGAGTATTCGGTACCGGGATGCTTTTGGCAATTTCTTTGGTGCCCGATAGATGATGGAGAAGGACTCTTCAATGTCAGCCTTGTGGTTAGTTTGGATTAGGTGTTCTAGTGTCGCTCTGCTGATGCTTCTCACTACACCTTTATTTAACCACACTGGTAGATGTTCCAGAGCACGAAAAATCAAGTTTCTGTAGAAAAGGCTGATATAACTCGCTCCACAAGCGCAGTTAGAATTGGTAGATACAACTAGAGGTGGGTAGTCTAGGTACTTCATCTTTCAATTGAGTAAACACAACCGGTTGTTAGAAAACATTACTTGTCGTTTATCAGCATTAAAAGTCCTTTGAATTGATTTTATTAACTTGTTAGTAATTATTCCACTCACTACTTCACCCTTGAAATGGAGTTGTATATATAAAGGCTTTTTATTTACAGATGGAGAATAGTCCTTTTCTACTTTCTTGATCATGTGTTCCTTGAGGAACTACTTTGGACAGCTGTTTTCAGTTAAGGTGTCATATACAATCCGAAGTTCATCTTCAATTACGTCTTCTGACCGTGTTGCTGAAGATCCTTGTTAAATCATTTTGTGTGGGAGAGGGGAACTAAGCTCCAAAAATGTGTGTATTGTTCTCCATGTGCTTTTCTTATTCATATTTCTCCTTCTACTACCATCTGGTTTTTTTGTAAGAGGGATTTCTGGGGGAGCAACGTATTCGCCACATATTTAAAAATAAGGCTAATGCACGTGTAACTGGCATTAAACCACTCTTCAATTCAACATACCATCTTGTTATCATAAGAATTGTGAAAATTTAGAACTTCATTGCATCTATTGGTTCACCATTACTCTTGTATGCTCTCTATCATAATATCATTAAAATATTTGCAATAAACGGAAAAAATTCACTATCGTGACTCAGTCTCAGTGAAATTTCACATTAGAATGCATCTCTGGTACACATTTTATGTTGATTTGACTGTGTCTTTGTCTACGTAATTCAAAGTCAAAAGATAACAACTGGAATATTTTAATCTGAGAAAATAGCATGTATGAAGTCTTAAATTTATCTTGTTGAGTTCACCTGCTAAGGCGAAACCGGATGGTCCACTTCCAACAACGTTAACACGCTTACCGGTCGACATACGATCTTTATCAGGAATGGGATTCAACCAACCATGTATATATATATACAAACTGCAGAAGTTCTGGTAATGTTTTAGCCTAATTTCATTTCTATTTGTTACTGTAGGCTGTGCGAAAGGAGCTGAATTCATAGTAATCTTTTTCATACAGTGCCATAGGTCTGAGAAAATGTTTGATAACTATGTTTTTCTGTTTTAGTTCGGAATATTAGTCTGTAGCAGACTGAGTTAGTGTTGTTTTGGTTACCGCCTGATATTGATTTGTTCTTCCTTTCAATTTTGTTTTCCTGGTTTAATGAGTGAACGGTAAAACATCCAGCTACGTGAAGTATACAGATACGATTTGCGCGCAAACTTTAAAAGAATGAATGCAATCTGGTGTCGCGTATGTATGACCGAATGGAAATCTAGATTTACTTCAGAACAGTAATTTTCACCTTCGCGATTAATGTAGAGAAAGATGTGGTTGTTTCATATAAACACAGTCTGCATTTTCTTTACGCATATCTAGTTCAGGAATATAAATCACCTTACTTCTAAATAATTATTGCTACAAATCATGTGCATACTATTAGGAATCGAATGTTTACTTCCTTTGTGAAGGTATGGTTATTTGTTGCATTTCTGGTTCTAAGATTTTTGAGTAGTAGACCTCATTAGAGGCTATTGTATTATAACAATTTGTTTAGGTGGAGTTTGTGCATATAATAATAACTTTTATTACATGAATTTTATGTAGGTTATTGGTCTGTTTGAAATATAACTTTACTTTAAATTAATCGAATTTGTCTTCCGCAGGTTCGTTTCCCATCTCACTTTAGTTCTGATTTAAAAGATTTACTGCGCAATCTTTTACAAGTTGATCTCACTAAACGCTTTGGTAATTTAAAGAATGGAGTCAATGATATTAAAACACACAAGTGGTTTGCCACAACTGATTGGTTCTCTATTTATAAACGAGATGTAAGTTGTACTCTTTCAAAAAATAAACATTTTTTAAAAATTTAACAGAATTAATTTCAACCATTTTTAACAGAGGTGGGAGACAAGACGTTTGGTTTATAGCATATTTAATTTTAGAGTTTAATAATTTTTCTCTCTGGTCAATTCTGTCTACATACTGCCGACAGTGTATCTTCATTTGTCTCAAAGTTTAGTAGTTTATGTGGATGTTTGAGCATCGAGTTTAGAAAACGACATTGTTATTTTTAACCCATAAATGTCTATTGAGAAGGAAAACATAAACGATAATTCTTCAGTAAATACTTGGAGGTGAATGTTCAGATGGGTTGATGCAGGCATTGGAATTTCAATGCGTAGATTTTCGGTGTGTTGGAACAACTTTGCTACTAAACTTCAATTATAATAATTTACTAGCTTAGGATTAGTGTCGTCAGGCCAGATATTCAGCGGATTCGGCTGATATTTTAAAATAGAAATTAGAAGATCAAAGTCTTAAACATTTCGTTCCCTGGATAACTTTGAAGGTAGTTCGTGAGGTGAATGCATTTTCTCTAATCTTTTGGCTTTTCATCAGTTGAATGCTTTGCAAAATTGTTCTTACAGTCTTCAATTGTATAATGTATTTTAATCTTGTTGAAAAAAAGATTAGGTCACAGAATTCGATGATAACAGTAATATGAGATGAAATAAAGAAGCAAATAGCACAATCCTGAGTCAAAATGATGACAATTTCCATGTGATTTAGGTACACCGTTTTAAGTCGCCTAGTCAGAAAAGTGAAATTCAGAGGAAAATATTCCCTAACTTTTTCAAAAAAATCTATTTGAAGAAGAAGCTATTTTTCAAAACTGCACTGGGTGGACACGATGAAAATTCGGTGGCGAATAGGTTTTTTCCAATCTTTTGCTTCGACTTATTGAAGCACTTGATACTATAATGCTTTAGTCTGAAAGTGGTACACAAAACAAGATTGATTTTCTCACTTGAGTGGATTATATGTAACATTAATCTAGTTGGGAGGTCCTTTGCTTTTTAACTACTTATATTTAATCACAGTCATTGTGATATTGTCCAGTTAATCATTTGCTTATGTAATCCCTTAGTTGTTCAGTGATCCTCTTCCCTTACATATCTCTTTGTTCGAACCTTTTTTCCTTACGCATCTAGAACTATCTATCTGACCAAAAATTAATTGTCATTGATTTTGACTAGGATTTTTATTTGCCGCTTTTTCACATCTTCTCAAAGCATCCATCATAATACTGTTATCATGGAATTTTGGACCTTGATCTGTGTTTCGATACACTTAAAGTATGTTATTTATTCATTTAATTGCAATGATTCATTGTATATTTTAGGCTGTGCTCATCTAATGAAAAGCCATGAGATTAGATAATGTCGCTTATGCTCCACGAAAATGTGTTCCTTCTTTCTTGCATCACAATTCAAAACCTATTTGAAGTTCTTTTCAATTTTAACGGCAACCATAAACGTTTGTGACTGCGAAATCGATGTCAGCCTTCGATTTTCTGATTGCTGGTATCCAGCTATTTGAAAATGGAAAATAACTACAGTAAACAGTCTTTACAAAGGCTCATGACAACTGGTCTATTTGAATTATTCGCCTAAAGAAATTATTGTTTTCAAGGTGGATACTTATAAACAACCGTTGATTTTAACGTTCACCACTTCACTGAAATTAGTTTGGTATTTTGAAAGCAGAAGTTAGGGATTGTCATCACTATTATTCATATGTTGGTTTTCAGGTATTTGGTTGGTTACAGGACTTCATCATGAGCTGATATTGTTTGTTAACACTATTTTTATTGTTACTGTTACTATAATCATTGTCATTTTATATGAAGACAAATAGCAGCTTTCAAGAGTAGAATGCGTTTACAAGATGAACCAAATTTGTATTATTATTATTATTCCCTTGGGTTGTGTGTCGAACATAAGGCTTCAACAAAAAATCTCCGCTTTGATAGGTTGGGGGATTTCATCATGAGCTGACATCAGTTAGAGAACCACTGGAAAGCCTGAGAGTACTGGACATCTGTTTTGTCCTAGTTTGAAACCTTTCAGACGTACTCACCTGCCGGGGTTCGCACCCAGGACCTCTTGGTTACAAGGCGAGCTCGTAGACAATTGAGCCACTGGGACCCTATCCAATGGCCAACGCATGAATTCTAACTTCTGCCAATTCACTACATAGTCCGACCACTGCGCAATGTCTTCTTCGATGAGTTACTGCCTCACCTTCAACTTTCTGTGCCCTACTAGTCACGGCATCCCACTAGAATCCCAGGTTAACTGCCTGAATAGTGCCAGCCGCTAGTGAGCATCAGGCCAATTTTTTCGACCTGAACCAGGAGGTCCTGGGTTCGGACCCCGGTGGGTGCGTACTGATGAAGAGTACCAAACTAGGACGAAACAGCCGTCCACTACTCTCTGGTTTTCCAGTGGCTCCCTAACTGATGATGAAATCCTCCAACCAATCAAAAATCCCTACAAAATCAATACTTGAAGATCTCCACCTTGTTCTATTTTTTGCTGTCCTCCTCAGCTGGTCCTACGATTGCCCACAATCTCTTATCTGCCCCTCGCATAATCTTCTCCATGTCACTCTAGGATGATCCACCCGTCGTTTTTTATTTGGGTTCCACTTGAGGGCCTGGTGGATGAAAGATAAACTAAATATTAGTGTATAATTCCACAGGTGTTTTTTAGACGCAATTCAGTTTTCATTGCTTTTCTGCATTTTTATATCACATGAAGAGAGGGAAAGAATATGATTGTTCATTATAAGAAAAAGCTGGCTTAGTAGGAACGTTTTCTTCCTAAATAATATATATGTATATTAATGTACATAAGTATTTTGTAAAATGTCTTCAATTTAATAATTTCCTGTAAAGGATTTTTTCGGTAGGTTGAACAAAAAGCTGTGTATTTTGTTTGTTCTCTAACGTGTTTCCATGACATTTCGTTCCATTTGATTGTTTTTTCATTTTGTTTTTCTAGTAATTATTCATCTTATTTTAGTTACTTTTTATTGAGTCAGTTACTCGTTCGCCTTTTCAATGACGAAAGTGTATAAATTCGTTTCCTTTTGATAAATAAACACTGTTTTGAAACTTTTTGCCACTTAGACAACCAGCCACTAGTCACTAACAAATACCTAATTAATTTCCAAGGCTTTGTAAATGCCTTCAACCGTATGCATTATAGTTCTTCTTATAGAGGTATATTTGAAATAGTAAGGCGAAGCTCTAAGTCAGCTGTTAAGCTGTTTTACCAGGCCATAGCCTAGTTTCTTTGGTATTTATAAATTCAATAATCAACTGTGACTTAGCGGTAAATTTTTCTAAAACAGGTTCTTCTTGAAAGTGGGCCGAATATAATACTGAAGCAGACTTTAGCAACTTTAAAAAAACCCAAACATTCAGAACAACAAAACGGCTGGAGCATGGATTCATTGTGTTAATACAGTGCAGTGTCTTGGTGTCTAGGAGTTTACAGGAAAACCATGAATTTCTCACGATGAATCATCTTCCAGCTTGTCCAACGAACAAATGAATACTCTTGGAAGTGAATTGGATTTTACCCAGGACTGTCATCCTATGCAGGATTTAAAGAAAATATTAGCAGTAATAATAATAATATCAACGTTAATTGTATGCGATCTAACATGTTCCGATAATCAAATTTACTTTTCCATTTGATGTTCTTATGAACATCAAATAATCAATTTTAATTGCATTAATAGCAATGTTTTTTTTCTTCTACGCACATATTTCACACAGATTGAGGCTCCATTTACTCCTAAGTGTTCTGGGGCCGGTGATGCGAGTAATTTCGATGACTATGAAGAAGAACCATTACGAATCGCTACGACGGAAAAATGTGCAAAAGAATTCAGTGAATTTTAACTTATACCATCATACTTTAGCAACACCTATCGCTGATATAAGCGTCACTACTATTACAAACACTACCACTTCTACTACTACTATTGTTAATGATAATAATCACTATATTATTATGATGATTACAGTAATAATGGGCGAGTTATATTTTATGTTTTTATTTTTATCTCAAGTGCTTATAATTCACATTAATTTAAATAGTTTTATTTGTTTTTGATTTTTTCACACGTTGTGCTTCTTCTCTACACGTTTGTCTGATTTGGAAGTGATTTACAGTTGTTTTTTTCAATATAGTGTCTGATTTTGATTTGTTTTTACTCACTATTTCATTACATTTAATTTTTTGTACGTTTCTACCGTTATTCCGCTGGGAATACAGTTCATACTACAAAACGGATTCATTGTTATTCGCCTCATAAAGTATTCACTGTGCAGACAATTGAATTCGTGAAATTCATGTTTCTTTCTATTCCCTCTGTATGAAAACGGCTGTCTGCCTGTCTTTCTAATTTTTTTTTTGATAATTTTATTAACTTGTGAAGTTTTATGAGTTGATTGAATACATCTTGATCTTATTCGTAGATGTTTGTTGCTGTCATAATCACACCATAGCTTGTGAAGTCCACTGTTTGCTCTCTACACTTAAATTATTCTACAGTTTCCTGCCGAATTCCACAAAGTTACTGCCAATGATCTCAAGTACTCAAGTACGTCGATTGAATTGTTGTAATTCCCAGTTATTTGAGTTTGTCGGTGATACTGATATTACTAATGTTTACATATAGAATTGAAATTGTTGAGCACTATGTTGAATACCTTTTTAATGCTTCAGTAATTTAAAGTACTCTCTTACTTTGTAGAACTTTCTTTGACCAGTTCTCATACTGTTGAAAATGATGCGATAATGTGGTGGAGCATCTTTAATTTCTTCCCTTTTTTCAAAGTATGTTGCAACTGATAATACTGTTATATTTCCGTTCACTTTTCTGACAAATATATGTGTAGATTTTGTTTAGTGATTGGTATAGGTATATGCGTGCTGGTCGCATTTGGTCGATTAATTCAAAATAGCTTGCTTGATATTAGAAAAGTTGACTTTGCTCTGAAAGCGTTTTTTTAACCTCTTTTACAACATTAACCATAAAACATTTCTCAAAGGACTTATTCTTCTTATCTGATGATCTCACTTCCTGTCTCCATCTCAGTGTTGGCATTCCATTCATTCGATTTAATCCTTCATGTGCATGAAAACTACAACAGTATGATTGTTCACTACTGTGGTATTCTCTTCAAGTGTAACTGTTTTAGATTGCTTACTTACTTTATACGTTTTATCGCATCTGGTCGATAGAAAAATGTGATTCTGTTTTAAAATGTCTCATGTGAATGGTTTAAAAGAAATTTCTTTTGTATCATCGTAGAATAATAGTTCATTCTGTGATCATGAATACTTTTAGTGAAAACCTTTTCTAGCCAACAAAAATATTTTGGTTTTGACTTGATTTATTTATTTTTTCTTTCTTTTTCTGCTCTACTTGCTGCTTTGTTGCTTCTTATTGTTGATCCAATGATTAATGTTATTATTCTCCTACCCTTTTCTTCGTTTTTGTTGAAGTCATTCGGCTATTACCCTTCCTTCGTATTGTAAATAAATAAATATATTCATATATATATATATATATACATATATATATATATATTGGTATGTATAATGTCAGTTATTGTCACTTGAGCTAAAAATAAAATTTCACTTGTTTCTTTTCAAGTGTTTTCTTTCATTTCCTGTCAGTTTGTTCCCTGAAGGTTGCATGGAACTGAGCAGAGTATGAGGTATATTCTTCGATATCTAATGTTCGTGAAGTGTAGAAGAAGCGAACAATTGCGGAAATGGGAGATTGCAATCTTTCTTATGTTTATCATCTGATGTGTTTCTATTTACCTATTATCGTTTTGTTTCTTTATTGCTTTACGTTAATTTGTCCATTCGTGGTTTCACTTCTGTTTATTTCATTTAGTTTTTTTGTTTGTTTTATACATACTGCTTATCCGTATTATTCGTCAATATACGCGTGCATACTTAAGTAGCCATATGTGCTAAACCACACACACACAAGCCAGCATGAAAGTCTTTGATTATTTGTTTGTTGTTTTCCTTATTTGCTCAGCTGTTTACAATTGTGCTATATAGCCATGTTTCTCTATCATGTTTTTACCTTCTCTTTCTGTGTCGTTGATTTCTTTTAGTTGTCTTATAATTGCTTAAGTTATAAAAAATAAGGATACTATTTCATATCCATTACTTCCATCGTTTCGCTTATTACTTTGTTGTTGTATTCTCCTACTCTTTTCATATGTCGGTTTCTTTGTTTACCTGGATAACCAGGAGGAAGAATATACATTTGTACTTTCTTTTGTTCTTGATGTTTAATATACATATAT